AATAAAACTGCTGGCTGGGTGTGGTGGCTCACACCTGTAATCCCAGCACCGTGGGAAGCCGAGGCGGGAGGATCACTTGAGGTCAGGAGTTCAAGGCCAGCCTGGCCAACATGGGGAAACCCCATCTCTACCAAAAATACAAAAATTAACTGGGCATGGTGGCACAAACCTGTAATCCCAGCTACTTGGGAGGCTGAGGCAGAAGAATCGTTGGAACTCAGGAGGCAGAAGTTGCAGCAAGCCGAAATTGTGCCACTGCACTCTAGCATGGGCGACAGAGTGAGACTCCATCTCAAAAAAAAAAAAAAAAACTGCTTAAAAAATGATATTAATATAACACAGAGCATGCATCAAATCAGCCTAATACTCTAAGTCATTTATTGGTTTTCAGAAATAATTGGTGTGAACAGTGAACAATCTGAAAAAGAAATTAAAAAACTAATCCCATTTACAATAGCCAAAGAAAATGAAATACCTAGGAATTAACCAAAGAAGTAAAAGATCTCTATAATGTAAACTACAAAACAGTGATGAAAGGAATTGAAGAGGACACCAAAAAATGGAGAGATATTCTATGTCCATGGATTGGAATAATCAATGTTGTTAAAACGTCCATACTACCCAAAGCAATCTACAGATTCAATGCAATCCCTATCAAAATACCGATGACATTCTTCACAGAAAGGCAAATAACTGCCGTAAAATTTATGTGGAACCACAAAAGACCCCGAATGCCAAAGTTATCCTAAGCAAAAAAGAACAAAGCTGGAGGTATCACATTAACTGACTTCAAATTATACTCAGAGCTATAGTAATCAAAATAGTATGCTATTAGCATAAAAACAGACACATAGCCTAACAGAACAGAATAGAGAACACAGAAACAAATCCACACACTGACAGTAAACTAATTTTTGACAAAGGGGCCAAGAACATACACTGAGGAAAAGAGTCTCTTCAATAAATGGTGCTGGGAAAACTAAATATCCATAAGCAAAATAACAAAACTAGACCCCTATATCTCACCACATACAAAAATCAAATTGAAATGGATTAAAGACTTAAATCTAAGACCTCAAAATATGAAACTACTAAAAGAAAACATTGGGGAAATTCCCCAGGACATTGGTCTGGGCAAAAATTTCTTGATTAATACCCCACAAGCACAGGCAACCAAAGCAAAAATGGACAAATTAGATCACATCAAATTAAAAAGCTTCTGCACAGCAGAGGAAACAATCAACAAAGTGAAGAGACAACCCGCAGAATGGGAGAAAATATTTGCTAGCTATCCATCTGACAAGTGATTATTAGCCAGAATATATAAGGAGCTCAAACAAGTCTACAGGAATAAAATTCTAATAATCCAATAAAGAAATCAGCAAAATATTTTAATAGACATTTCTCAAAAGAAGACATACAAATGGCAAACAGGTATATGCAAAGGTGCTCAACATCATCGATCATCAGAGAAATGAAAATCAAAACTACAATCTCGGCTGGGCATGGTGGCTCACGCCTGTAATCTCAGCACTTTGGTAGGCCGAGGCAGGTGAATCACGAGGTCAAGAGATAGAGACCATCTTGGCCAACATGGTGAAACCCCGTCTCTACTAAAAAAATACAAAAATTAGCTGGGTGTGGTGGCACGTGCCTATAGTCCCAGCTACTCGGGAGGCTGAGGCATGAGAATCGCTTGAACCTGGGGGGCAGAGGTTGTAGTGAGCTGAGATTGTGTCACTGCACTCCAGCCTGGGCAAGAGCAAGACTCTGTTTCAAAACAAACAAACAACAACAACAACAAAACCCTATAATCTCATCCCAGTTAAAACAGTTTATATCCAAAAGACAGGCAATAACAAACACTGGTGAGGATGTAGAGAAATCAGAACCCTCAAACACTGTTGGTGGGGATGCAAATTAGTATAAGCATTAGGGAGAACAGTTTGGAGGTTCCTCAAAAAACTAAAAATAGAGTTACCATATGATCCAGCAATCCCACTGCTGGATATATACTCAAAGGAAAGGAAATCAATATATTGAAGAGATACCTGCACTCCCATGTTTATTGCAGCACTGTTTACAATAGCCAAGGTTTAGAAGCCACCTAAGTGTCTCTCACAAGATGAATGGATAAAGAAAGTGTGGTACATATTCACAATGGAGTACTATTCAGCCATGCAAAAGAGTGAAATCCTGTCATTTGTAATAACATGAATGGAACTGGAAGTCATTATGTTAAGTGAAGTAAGCCAGGCACAGAAAGACAAACGTCACATGTTCTCACTTATTTGTGGGATCTAAAAATCAAAACAATTCACTTTATGGAGATAGAGAGTAGAAGATTGGTTATCAGAGGCTGGGCCAGGTAGTTGGTCAGGGGCAGGGAATGGTGAAGAGGGAGGTGGGGATGGTTAATGAATACAGAAGTAATAGAAAGAATGAATAAGACCTAGTATTTGCTAGCACAACAGGGTGACTATAGTCAATAATAATTTACTTGTGCTTTTAAAAATAACTAAGAGAGTATACGGCCAGGCACGGTGGCTCACACCTGTAATCTCAGCACTTTGGGAGGCCGAGGCGGGCAGATCATGAGGTCAGGAGATCGAGACCATCCTGGCTAACACGGTGAAACCCCATCTCTACTAAAAATACAAAAAAAGTTAGCCAGGCATGGTGGCGGGCGCCTGTAGTCCCAGCTACTTGGGAAGCTGAGGCAGGAGAATGGCATGAATCCAGGAGCGGAGGCTGCAGTGAGCCAAGATCTTGCCACTGCACTCCAGCCTAGATTACTGTATGATTTATTTTTTCTCTTTTATTTATTTTTTAAATCTTTATTCTTTTTTCTCTACTTTTTCTTTTAACATTTTTTAATTTTGAGAAAAGGTCTTGCTTTGTCACCTAGGCTAGAATGCAGTGGCATGACCACAGCTCACTCCAGCCTTAACCGATCCTCCCACCTTAGTCTCCCTAGTACCTGAGAGTATAGGACTGTGCCACTACACCCAGCTAATTTTTTTAATTTTTTGCAGAAATGAGGTCTCATTATATTTCCCAGGCTGATCTCAAACTCCTGGGCTTAAGTGTTCTGTCCACCATGGCCTCCCAAAATGCTGAGATTACAGGCTTGATGTTAAACTAACCTTGCATTCCTAGAATAAACCTAACTTGGCTATGATTTATTATCCTATTTATATATTGCTGAACACAACAGGATGTACATTCAATTTACTGATGTTTTGTTTGGAACTTTTGCAAGTATGTTTATAAGAGGAATTGATCTTTAATTTTGACTTTTCTTGAAATATCCTTGTTAAGTTTTGGTGTCAACGTCATGCTTGTCTCCTAAAATGTGTTGGTAAATGCTCCTCTTTTTTCATTATTTGGAAGCATCTGTATAAGATGGGTGTTCTTTCTTTCTTTTTACAATTATTATTATTATTATTGAGACAGAGTCTCACTCTGTCAACCAGGCTGGAGTGCAATGGCACGATCTTGGCCCACTGCAACCTCCGCCTCCCAGGTTCAAGCAATTCTTGTGCCTCAGCCTCCCAAGTAGCTGGGATTACAGGCGTGCAACACCACGCCCGGATAATTTTTGTACTTTTAATACAGATGAGGTTTTGTCATGTTGGTCAGGTTGGTCTCGAATTCCTGGCCTCAAATGTTCTCCTGCCTCACCCTCCTAAAGTTCTAGATTACAGGCACGAGCCACCATGACTGGCCTATTTCTTTCTTAAAAATTTGGTAGAATTTGGCCAGGCGTGGTGGCTCATGCCTGCCAGTACTTTGGGAGGCCGAGGTGGGCAGATCACAAGGTCAGGAGTTCGAGATCAGCCTGGCCAGTATGGTGAAACTCCATCTCTACTAAAAATACAAAAATTAGCCAGGCATGGTGGCAGGTGCCTGTAGTCCCAGCTATTCAGGAGGCTGAGGCAGGAGAATTGCTTGAATCCGGGAAGCAGAGGTTGCAGTGAGCTGAGACTGCACCACTGCACTCCAGCCTGGGCAAATGAGCAAGACTCTGTCTTAAAAAAAAAAAAAAAATTGGTTGAATTTTCACATTTATTGGCCTAGAGTTGTTCAGAATATCCCCTTATGATCTTTTTAATGTCTGTGGTATTTGTAGTGATGCCCCTACATATTGGTTAGTGATGCCACCGTTATCAGTTACTTTGATTTTCTTTGCTCCATTGCTCAGACTGAAGCACAGTGGCCTGATTATAGCTCACGGCAGCCTTGAGCTCCTGGGCTCAAGCAAACCTCCTGTCTCATCCTCCCAAGTAGCTAGGACTGCAGGTGTGCACCACCAAGCTGGGCTCTTCTTTTCTTTTCGATCAATCTTTCCAGAGTTTATCGAATGTATTAGTCTTTTCAAAGAGTTAATGTTAGTTTGTCGAGACTCTTTTCTTAAAAAATATCTTTTAAGCTGGGCGCGGTGGCTCACGCCTGTAATCCTAGCACTTTGGAAGGCTGAGGCGGGCAGATCACTTGAGGTGAGGAGTTCGATATCAGCCTGGACAACATGGTGAAACCCCGTCTCTACTAAAAATACAAAAATTAGCCGGGCGTGGTGGCACGTGCCTGTAATCCCAGGTACTTGGGATGCTGAGGCAGAAAAGAGAATTGCTTGAACCTGGGAGGTGGAGGTTGCAGTGAGCTGAGTTGGTGCCATTGAACTCCAGCCTATAGAGATGAGGACTCAATATGTTGGGCAGGCTGGTCTCCAACTCCTGCCCTCCAGCAATCCTCTGGCCTTCACCTCCCAAAGTGATGGGATTACAGGCACCAGCCACCACAGCCTCTGTGGAGCCTCTCTATCGAAGCTTGCTTTCTCTTTTTTAAACATTTCCTTCATCCCATTATTTTTCAGTTTAACCTTTTTTCTAACTTCTTGAGATATATGATTATATCAAAAGATCTTTCTTGAACATCCCATTTCAGACTGAAACCACTCTCCTCTTTTTCTCCTTGGCACTCACCACCATTTAACATACCACATATTTTCCTCATTTATTTTTGTCTCTCCCCATCAGAATGGAATCTCCACGAAGGCAAGGACTTTTGTTTACTGCTGAATCCCCCGGACCGAAACCAGTTCCTGTTTAATAAATAAAACAAGGAATGAATGTGTTAAATGAAGAAACAATAAGAGCTAAATTTATTGAGCAGTTACTATCTGAGACTCAATTATATTCACTCATGCATTTATTTATTCAGTTATTTACTTATTTAGAGAAGGGGTCTCGCTTTGTTGCCCCGCAGGTCTCCAACTCCTGGCCTCAAGCAATCCTCCCAGCTCAGCCTCCCCAGGATTACAGGCGTGAACCACCACGCCTGGCGGAGACTCAATTATAAGGGGCTCACAGATAACATCTAATTCTTACAGAGGAGGAAACTGAGGCACAAGTAAGCAGGAGAGCCGTGATTGGAAACCTAGGTCTAACTCACGGCCCGTGAGCTTTCCTCCAAGTCCCGAGGCTTCCCCTTAAAAAAGCCAGCGAGGGACGAGACCCGGAGGGCAGAACCCACGGAGGGCGGAGCCCACGGAGGACAGAAACCGCGCTCGCGAGCTCGGCCTTGCGCGGCTCCCAGCAGCCAGACGAGCAAGCCGGTCTTGAAATGAATGACCTTCGGAACGGAGCTTGATCGAATCACTCAGCAGTAGGCGTCGCCCACTTTCTTATTGGTTGGTTTTGGTTCTCAAGAATAGGAAACGAAGATAGTCCGCGAGGGGGCTGCGGGCTTTGCGGAGCCTCGCCCCCGGGCGCGCTGGTTCCCTGCCGCGCAGGCGCACGGAATCCTCGGCTCGGATCTCGCGTTTCCGGCCGTAGGGCTTCTCCCGCCTCTACCGGAAGCTGCGCTTGCTACCCGGGTAACGGGTCCCGGCTGTGGAAGCTTCCGCGGCGCCGCGATGGACCTCGAGGAGGCGGTAAGGAGGCGGTGCGCCTGGCGGGCCCCTACTGTCGGGGCCGGAGGGGAGAGAAGCTGAGGAGGAGCGGCGGAGAACGCCTCGGGTTGGGGCGGCCACCGGTTGGAGGAAGGCGGGGCGGAGGGCTGCGGGGCGGGGTGACGACTGGGCGCTGGCCGGCCGCATGCGCGCGCGGCGTTTGTAAAGAGGCTGGAATTTCTGGCTCGGCGAGGTTGTGGGCGGGGGAGGGTGTGGGGTTTGTCGTTATGGATGTGTTTAAGGATGAAGTTGTGGGTTTTGTGGGGTGGCCACCCACAGGGCTCATCCTCGAGACTGGACCACCCACAAGTTCCCTTTAATGCTGGGGTGGGTGAAGGGGGAGCAGGGTTTGGAACCTGAGATGCCCCCGGGTAACCCCTGTCGGTCTCTCCGGGAATCCTCGCCGCTGTCTCCTGCAGGGATTCTGAATTCGGGTTTGGGAACTCCCCAAATTTTCCAGCTGTCATTCATCGTAGTGTTAGTACGGGGTCATTGAACACTTTACCAAGTTGCCAAAATTAATTTGGCATGCATTTTTTTTTGTTTTAGGTGCTACGTAAAATGGCACATTTTTGTTGTCTCACTTTGTCCCCCAGGCTGGAGTGCAGTGGCACATCACGATCACGGCTCACTGCAGCCTCGACCTCCTGGGCTCGAGAGATCCTCCCGCCTCAGCCTTCCGATTAGCTAGTACTGCAGACTTGCGCCACCACTCCCGGCTAATTTTTTTTTTTGTAGGGGCAGGGGTCTCGCTATGTTGTCCAGACTGGTATTGAACTCCTGGGCTCAGGCGATCTTCCTGCCTCAGCCTTTGCAAAGTGCTGGGATTACAGGGGTGAGCCCCCGCACCTGGCCAAATGGCAAATGGCACACACTTTGATGGTATTAAATGGTACTTGATAATTAGATCAACGCTAACAACAAGTCAAACTCCAAAGAATTGGGAATCAGAGAATTAGGCCTGTATATATGGAAGCAGTACGGCCTTATAATACGGGCTTAAAAAATGTTTATTGAATGATGTTTGGCTAACTTCTGTAGATGCTAGGCTGATGAAATTAATCATTGTAACTCACCATTAGCTAGTGTATCCCCAGACTAGGGACCATGTCTGGTCTGTTCTGCTCACCATTGAATCCCCAGCACTTAGTAAAAAGCCTAGTACACCCAGAGTTGATACTCTTTATGCTCCCGAGTGAATAAATCGAAACTTGAAACCAGTACAAATCTAGTTCCTCTGTGGTATGCGCTTTTAGTGTCCTGGAGGAGTTCCAAATGGTATTTGCATTTTTAAAGTCTTCTCTGTACTTATTTGTCATCTTCTTTCTCACAGAATTTTCAAGGAGCTTTGTTTACTCATCTTTGGTTCCAGTTTACCCCTACTACCTCCTTTTCTTTATTTTTCCTCTCACATTGCATATTTCAATGAATTTTCTCCAGCAGTTTAATTCGATTTCATACCGCTCCTCTCCTTGTTTGCAGATAATCTCTCTGATATATTTTCTATTGTGTATGATTTTTTGTTTATAAAGTTGCAAGGAACACACTAAGTAGAACTGCAGGGTTTAGGTACGATGTACTGAATGTGGCTTGATGGGAACACCTTTTCTGTCCTCTTCTCCCATAGGAAGAGTTTAAAGAACGCTGCAGTCAGTGTGCTGCTGTCTCATGGGGCCTTACTGATGAAGGCAAATATTATTGCACTTCTTGCCACAATGTTACAGAGGTAAGTAACAAATACCATTCATGAGTTTGCTTATGTTTTAAAAATTACTATTTCAGCCTGCTGTGTAGTCTAAGTCCCAAAAATTTGGTTAATTTTTGTCACTCATGCAATGCCAACATTCCAAGGATGTGAGTGGTCTTGGGTACTTACACATAGGTTAAGGGATTTGTGAATTAGATTGAGGGTGAGTTTTTGAAATTATGTTGGGCCACATTTATAAATGATTTCTTATTCAGAGTATATGGTTGAGGGAAATAATTAAAATTGTACTTAGAAGATGATGCATTTCTTTTTATTAGTACTTATTTACATTTTTAAAATGTGTCATGGTGGCTTAGAGGTTTGGAAGATGGAATGTTAGAAAACTTGAGGACTGGGCTGGGCGCGGTGGCTTATGCCTGTAATCCCAGCACTTTGGGAGGCTGAGGCAAGTGGATCACCTGAGGTCAGGAGTTCGAGACCCGCCTGGCCAATATGGGAAAACCCCGTCTCCACTAAAAATACAAAAATTAGTCGGGCGTGGTAGCATGCGCCTGTAGTCCCAGCTACTCAGGAGGCTGAGGCGGGAGAATTGCTTGAACCCAGGAGGCAGAGGTTGCAGTGAGATGAGATCACGCCACTGTACTTCAGCCTGGGCAACAGAGCAAGACTCCATCTAAAAAAAAAAAAGCTTAAGGACTGTTGGGAATATTGGAACTACACTTCATTATCCTTTTATCTTTGTATAGTACCTTACAGATTACAAAGTGTTTTTGGATTCATTATCTCATTTCATCCTCATCACCAATGTGAGAGCCTATTGATAGGGCTCACAATTTGAGTGAGTTTGCCAAAGTTACCCAAGTTCCAGGACTTGAATATGAGTCTTCTGACTTCAGCGTTCATTTTACCCATCTTGTCATACTGTCCTGTGTAACCTTGGTAAACGAGGCTACCTTCACGTTGTGAGGGCTAGGTCCTATTGTGGTGAACACACCTGCAGGCCAGCATCACCAAAATAATCAAGGGTGTAGAGAGTCTGCTAGTAGACGGGCTAAATGTGGCCAGGACTCTCCTCTGTGGAAAAGGATTTCCTCAAAGTCTACAGAGCCAGGAAGGGACAAATGTTACCTTCACCGTACGGGCTTAAGAAAGGCAAATTTGGGACAATAAAAGTAATTGTAGACTTCTGCTTCTGGCTGAGATGGAGTAACAGAGACCAGACTTAACTTTGTCCGCTAAACAACGAAAAACCTGGACAAAATATATGAAACGAGTAAAAGGAAAAAAATTTTCCCTTGAAAAAACTGGTGAATTGAGCTTGCAAGTCTGTCACACAAGTGCTTTTCCTTGAGACAGTGTTCTTGAGTCTGCAGCTGGAATGCTTATCTCTGCTTCCTATTTAGTCACACAGAATATTAAAAAGATACGTGCTCTCTTGATGAAATTGTTGGGGTGATGGAGATATTTATTATCTTGATTGTAGTGATGGTTTTGTGGAGATATATTTTGTGTGTGTGTCTGTGTATGTCAGATTGTGCACCTGACAGATATGCACTTTGGTCCTCACCCTCAGTGTGTAGTAAGGAGCTAGCAGTTTTACTCACTGTTGCTTTTGTACTATAGTGCAGGTGTAAACACAGTGAAGAAAGATTGTGTCTAATGGAGTATTTGCCATTAGTAGATGAAGTCCACATACTATTTTTATAGGAGTTGAACTACATTAACTAATTGCTTTTCTATTTCTGGTTTTGATAGTTTCCGTTTGATTCTGTTTGATCAAATCTGCTGCAGTCATTTTTTAGTTTGAAAGATCCTAATACCACTACCTAGCTCCACATTTGAAAGACTGTCAACTCCTGTGAAGTAATTTGTCAAGAATGTAGAGTTCATGAAGATGGACAACATCTTTATAAAGACCAAGAACCTAGCTCAGTGCCTTCCTTTCAGACAACAGGCTTAAAGGAAAAAAAAGTTATGCATTGCACAACTTCAGTAGTTATTCTCGGCTTTATGGTGATCCAGGCATGTTCTTCACATGGACTGTGAGAATATGATGTGGTTGGGGCTCCCTGGAGCTGAGCAGTGTGGTGATGGTGATGCTGAAATACAGTGGGCGGAGAATGACGAGTGAGACAGTTACAGCTAGAAGAATGGAAGTCATGGTGCAACTTGCCTTATTTTTCTGCCCCTTTTACTGCCCCCTCTTCCTCAGCATGTAACTCTCAAGTTCCAGACACACTCTGCAATCTGGGAAAGGACTTCCGAATTGATAAAGGAACCAAAATGTTATCCTGATATATTTTATCCAGGAAAAAATATATATAAGGTCATAAATCTGTTCAATTTAGACAATAGATATTTTTGCAAGAGTTTCACGGATATTTAAAAAGATGTAGGCTAGACTTGTGTGAGTTTAATAGATTTTTATGATTATAAGAGCAATGCATGTTTACTATAGAAAATTTGGAAATTATGAAGATGAAAGCTAAAATCACCAGTAATCTCTATATTTGTCTCTTTTTTCCTGTGTATGAAATGGAGAAAGGGATGTGTGAGTACTGTTCAATCTGTTGCCATAACAATTTGGAAAACTACTTTATCTAAACATTTGCAGACATTTTTTACAGACTGTAAATATTCTGTAATAGCCATTCGGTAATTTAATTAATTATAGCTCTAGTTTTGGATGTTTTACTTTCTCACGTTTTTTGCTCTTTCACATTTTGTCTAGTACAGATTTTAAGTCTTTTTTTCCTGGCTACCCTTTGTAAGTTTTATTGTCTTTGCTAGATAATGGCTTTTGTATTTATTTTGACGTGTCTTACGTTCTCAGTGTGGCCAACCCAGTATACCAAAATTGCTTTGAATATGGTTTCTGTGATTAGAGAGGTTACATTTCAGAACCCCTGTTGGTAGAGACATATCTTTTATTCTTATGGAGAGTTAAAGATAAATTTCATTCCAAATCTCTAAATTTAGAAAAGCAGTAATGTCCTCTGTTGGTTAAAAATCCTCACCTTTCTTCTGGCATTAAGACTCAATAATGGGGGCTGGGCGCGGTG